AAAAAAAAAAAAAAAAAAAAAAAAAAACAGCATAAGTTATACCATCAGCCCATACCATTACTGCAAAGCTTTTGTGTAAGTGTTTTAAAGTAGGCCTCTGTCAGTAGCATAGTGATTTCACCTGACCCTAGGCCAGAACTCGAGACAGGCTGACCATGACTGCTTTATCTTCTGCAGCAATGTGTAGTCTACAAATTACTGGACACATGGTTCAGACATAAATGCCCACTGCCCTTAGGAGATGCCTGACTCCACTTCTAAAGACAATGTAAAAATAACAAAATATAAATTGGATAGCAATTAGATGTCTCCCAGAGGAAAAGTTTCTTCATATCACCCATGACCATGGAACTGAAGAACTTCCTAAAACAGACACGGCCAATGATTCTGCCTTACATGTCGATCATCCTTCAGGTCCACCCAACTCATGGTCCTCACAGCATCACCAAGAACACCCTGCGCTACTTGGCCCCCCACCCCTACTGCTGCACAGGCTAGCCCTCTTGATTTCTTATAATCTAGAGCCAACCTGTCCCCACACCGCTGCACAGGCCCCATCCCCTGGGACCTCCCACGCCCCCTGCCTCCTGGATGAGCTGACCCAGCACGCAGCCTGCCATGACTGGCAGCACCCACCTTCCTGAAAAACCTGTTCCACCTCTGTGGGCTGGGCTACATCGGGACAGAGCCTTCGCCCACCACCCCGCCCACCTCGAGGGAGGAATTCCCGCCAGAGGCTCTCATATGTTCTCAGAGAAAGGTCAGGGGCCTTGACTGTTACAGGGGCTTCAGCACTATTTGTACAGAAGTTTATCAACTGCACCGTTGGTGGGCACTGCTGAAAACTCTGCTTCCATGAGGAGGAGGGATATTTTCTGATTTCCTAGTGATGCATTCAGCAAAAAAGTTCTAAAATACATCCCACTTCCAGATAGAAGTCGGGTGAACAGAAGTACATTTCAGAATGAACAACGCTGTGCTGGGCAGATCTGACCTGGGGAGCATCCCTAGGACACTTGCATTTTGCAAGGTGCCAAGGAACAAACCTGCAAAGTTACCTGACTAGCTAGACAAGGACAACTTGTAATTTTATAAATAATTGGTCAAGGTAAGCTAAACGGGCCTCCCCCAGCCAGATTTACGTTTCAGGAGACACCCACTCTACTGGGATCACCGCTTCTCCAGGAGACCGCGGGCGCAAAGGCACAGCAACGTTCCGCCTGAGAAACTCCGCGCGTGGACACAGGTGGGGCCTGCGGCGGGGTGAGTCAGAGCCAGGAACATACTCAGCGAAGGAACCTTCCTGTAAGCTGTGAGGGGCTGAGGTAACCGGAGGGGACAGAACAGAGAGCGTAAGGACGAACCCATTCACGCCAGCGGAGTTTAGAAAGCCCTGAACTAAGAAACTCCGGAGCATAATGACAGAGACATCCTGAGTCAGCAGCAGAGGTGTGGTGCGTCCCACCCCTGCAATCCCTCTCAGCAACTGTCCCAGCGGAGAAGCTTCCCACAGTAAATCCGGGCACCTGTGGCCTAGAGCATGCCAACCTCCACCCAGCCCCTCGGGCACGCTCTGCAGGGGCGGCCCGCCGCCCAAGGGAGCGCACACCGGGGGCCGGCCGCAAAGCAGGGGCGTGGGATTCGCGGGCTGGAGGTGCGGGGCCTTCGGTCACCCTGGAAACTGTGAGCAGCACAGGGAGAAACAAGGCGAAGACCTAGCCCCTCGGGAGACTACAGGGCAGCCTTCCCCTCCGCCCTCCCTCCGCCGCCCGCTTCCAGCCTGCTCGGCCCTGATTCAGCATCTGTCATGATCTGGCCGGCGCTCGCCGCGAGGAGAAAGGGAGCAGGGCGGTGCCTGCCAGGAACCCGCCACGGTATTTAGCAAGCAGCGCTTGGAAACGGGCTGCGCGGCGCTGGGCTCCAGCTCGGCTGCGGGCCGCCCGCACGCCCCTGCAGGCGCGCCCTCCCGGGTTCTCAGGGCGCTTCTGGGCGCTGCGACGCGAGCCCTCGGCCCGAACAGCCGGCCAGCTGCGCCCGGCCCTGCCCAGGAAAGCGCCGCCGCCTCCACACACCGCGCTCGCACGCACGCGCGCGCACGTGCACACATACACACTCACACACACAGTCACACACGCACGCACACACAGTCTCACACACTCGCACACACACAGACACACACACACACGCACTCGCAGTCTCACACACTCGCACACACACACAGACACACACACGCACGCACACACAGTCACACACGCACGCACACTCACACACACACACTCGCGCGCACACACACACACACACACACAGTCACACACGCACTCACACAGTCACACACTCGCACGCACACACACACACACACGCACTCGCAGTTTCACACTCGCACACTCACACACACACACACGCTCTCGCATAGTTTCACACACTCGCACACAGTTTCACACACTCGCGCACACACACTCGCGCACACACACGCGCGCGCGCACACATACACACACACACTCACGCATTCTTACACACACTCACATACACGCCCTCCCCCCACCCTCGCTGCTGCCTCGCCTTCCCCAGGCGCGATCCGCTCACAGCCCCCAGCCCCGCACCCCCGCCCCGACGCCGGGTCACCGTCCCCGGGCTCCCGCACCCCAGGGCGTGTCTCCCGGCCTGGCGCCCTGCGGAGTCGCCCCCGCTGCTCTCCGCCGGCGCAGGCTCCC